GGGCTGGCTGGGCGCAGCCCCGTGAGCCCCCGGCACCGCCCGCACCCCGGGGACGGGGGGCTCCGTGCCACCCCCCGACCGCGGCTGTGCTGCTCGTGGGGAGCTCCGAGCAGCCCTGGCCAGCAGTGACCAATGCTGACCAGCAGTGACCAGCCCTGACCAGCAGTGACCAATGCTGACCAGCCCTGACCAGCAGTGGCCAACTCTGACCAGCAGTGGCCAACTCTGACCAGCACTGACCAGCAGTGACCAGCCCTGGCCAGCAATGACCAGCCCTGACCAGCCCTGACCAGCAGTGACCAGCACTGACCAGCAGTGACCAGCCCTGACCAGCCCTGACCAGCAGTGACCAGCCCTGACCAGCCCTGACCAGCAGTGACCAACGCTGACCAGCCCTGACCAGCAGTGACCAATGCTGACCAGCAATGACCAGCACTGACCAGCAGTGACCAATGCTGACCAGCAGTGACCAACGCTGACCAGCCCTGACCAGCAGTGACCAATGCTGACCAGCAGTGACCAACGCTGACCAGCCCTGACCAGCAGTGACCAATGCTGACCAGCAGTGACCAACGCTGACCAGCCCTGACCAGCAGCGCGGGCAGGGGGCTGCCGGGGGCAGCACACGACCTCCCGCCCCGCAGACCCGGGCCCGCCCCACCGGCGCAGCCCCGGTGCCGCCACCGGCGCAGCCGCCGGGCGGACGGAGCGCGGAGCGGGGGCGGCACCGGGGGCTGCAGCTCCGGGACCGGGGCCTCTCCTGCTCTGCCACGGCCCCCCGGGACAGCGGGGCTGCGCTCGGGCCGGGGCACGGCTGGGGGGCTTTGGGGGCGGGGGACGCCCTGCAGGGGATGGGGACAGCCCGGACAGGGGGTGACAGGACAGCCCTGGCGGAGCGAGGGGTGCGGGACACCCTGCGGCGGCGGCGGGAGCACCGGGGGCGCGGCGGGACGACGGGGACACCCGGGGGGACGAGGGCCCGGCCGGCGGCGGGGGCCAGCGGCCGGGGGCTGCGGGCGAGCCCCGGGGCGCTGCGCGGCCCCGCTCTTACCGGACAGGCTGAAGCTGGACTCGTGCAGGTCCCTCATGCCCCCGTGTCGCGTGGCCGGCCGGGTGGGCGTATCGGCCAGGGGCGTCCCCGTCTCTTTTTTACCGGCATGCACAACCACGGCCACGTCCCCCAGGTACGGGGTGCGGTCCACACCCCGCAGCTTCAGGCTCTGCCGGGAGCGAGAGAGAGCGGAGAGAGCATCAGCTGCGGCGGGGTGCGGGCTGCGGGTCGGCCGGGAGGGGAAGGGGAAGGGGCCGGGGCGTGCTGGGGCTGGGGAGGGGGCTGCGGCTGGGCAGGGGGCACTCGGAGAGGTGCTGGGCGGGCTGCGGGGCTCCCGGTGCCAAGCAGTGCAGGGCAGGGGCAGGGGCAGGGGCAGGGGCAGGGGGAGGTGGGTGGCCCTGGCAGAGCAGCCCCTCGCCCCGTCCCCCCGGCCAAGCCAAGCCAAGCCAAGCCCGTGCGATGCCCTGTGCCCCCCAGCCACGCAGAGCTCCCGACAAGCGCCCCAGTGCTGGCCAGGCTCTTGCTGCGAGCTGCCGGAGCCCCCGGTGCCCTTCCCTTGCAGCATCAGCCCCACGCTGTCCCCCAGCCCGCCCCCACAGCCACAGCGGGGGGGCACAGAGGGGTGCCAGGGACCACCAGAGCTCCTGGCTGTCACCGCCGGGCAGCCCCAGCCACTCGTGTCCCCGTCCCGGGGCGTGACCTGTGGGGCTGCCTTGGGAGAGCCAGCGAAGGGCACAGCCCGGCTGGGGGCACGGCGAGCCCCGATGGCCACGCACGCCTTGCAACGGCCGCGGGCCACACACCTGCTGGGACAGGCGTCCTCCTGCAGTGCCAGGAGGCAAGGAGCCCGGGGAGGGTCCTTTGTCACACGCTGACCCGCAGGGCCCTGCCCTGTGCTCCTGGCATGTGCTCCGGCACGGCGTGGCATGGCCTGGCACAGAGCCTCCTCTGGCACAGCCACTGCCCCCTGTCCCCAACTGCAGCCAGCACGGTGCAGCCCTGCCCCACATTGTGGTATCGCTGTGGCACAGCCACGGCACGGCCCTGGCACCGCTCTGGCATGGCCACAGCACCGCTCTGGTACAGCCCTGGCACTGCTCTGGCACAGCCACGGTACCGCTCTGGCATGGCCACGGCACCACTCTGGCACGGCCCTGGCACCACCGTGGCATGGACATGGCACCGCTCTGGCATGGCCATGGCACAGCCACGGCACTGCTCTGGCATTGCTCTGGCACAGCCCTGGCACCGCTCTGGCATTGCTCTGACACAGCCCTGGCACCGCTCTGACACGACCCTGGCACAGCCATGGCACGGCCCTGGCACCGCCGTGGAACGGCCGCCCCTGCCCCCGTACCTTCTCCCGCTGCACCAGTTTCTTGTAGGCGATGTCGGGGAAGGAGCGCAGCGGGCAGAACTTGCCGGTGCCCTCGGCACACATGAAGACGCCGTTCTCATAGACCACGCGCCCGCGGCTGATGGTGACCAGGGGCACGCCGTGGCACCGCATGTTCTCGTACAGGTTGATGTCCCCGCCCTGCACCTGGGTGCTGGCAGAGACGGTCCTGGGCGGGGGCACGGGGCCGTCAGCGGCTGCTGGGGGCACCGGGAGCCGCCCCGGCCGCGGGCTGCACCTACTTGGTGGCCTCGGGGTCCCAGACCACGACGTCGGCGTCGGCGCCGGGGATGATCCGGCCCTTGCGCGGGTACAGGTTGTGGAGCTTGGCAGCGTTGGAGCTGGTCACGGCCACGAAGCGGTTCTCATCCATCTTACCCCCCACCTGCCGCCGCAGCGGGGTGAGGACGGGCCGGGCCGCGTCACCCCCCGGCCCCCCAAAAGCCCAGGCGTGCCGCGGGGTCAGGACCCTCGCCAGGCCCCGCTGGGGGGCTCGGGGAGCTCCCTGCCCGCCGCCCTCGTGCCAGGGGGTGACCGCCCCGCTCCGGCCGGCCCCGCAGCCCCCAGCCCGGCCCCGTGCCCGGGCGGCGGTGCCGTACCACGCCGCGCTCCCAGATGATGTTCATGCGGTCCTGCACGCCGCTGACGCCGTGCGGGATCTTGGTGAAGTCCTCCTTGCCCATGGCCTTCTGCTTGGTGCTGAAGGGCCGGTGGTCCGAGGCCACGATGTTCAGCGTGTCACTGCGGGGCACAGAGCGGGGCGACAGCGCTGCCAGGGGCGTCCAGAGCTCAGGGAACGGGGCACCCCTGCCATGGGAGCTCAGTGCCCAGGGAAGGGGGCACCCAGGGCATGGGGCACCCAGGGAAGGGGAAACCCAGGGAATGGGGTACCCAGGGAAGGGGGCACCCAGGGCATGGGGCACCCAGGGCATGGGGCACCCAGGGAAGGGGAAACCCAAGGCATGGGGCACCCAGGGCATGGGACACCCAGGGCATGGGGCGCCCAGGGCATGGGGCACCCAGGGAAGGGGAAACCCAGGGAATGGGGCACCCAGGGAAGGGGAAACCCAGGGCATGGGGCACCCAGGGCATGGGGAACCCAGGGAGAGGTGCCCGGGGCAGGGACGGGGTGCCTGGGGCAGGGATGGGGTGCCTGGGGCAGGGAGAGGTGCCCGGGGCAGGGACGGGGTGCCCGGGGCAGGGACAGGTGCCCGGGGCAGGTCTCACTTGGCGAGCAGGCTCATGAGGTAGGCGGAGGTGTTGGTGTCGAGGCGCAGCGGCGGCACGGTGACGTAGGCGGCGGCGTGGAACCAGTCCTGGTGGTAGTAGTGCAGCCCGGTGAGCGTGGCGTGCGCCGTGGTCGTCTCCGCGTACACCACCTTCCCTGCCGGGGGAGGCACACGCGTGTGCTGCGGGCGGGCGTGCAGGGGCACACGCGTGGGCACCGCCCGTGCCAGCGTAGCCGTGCTCCCATCGGGGCAGGAGCTCTCTGTGTGGGGTGTGCTCAGGTGTGCGTGCCACGTGTGACCTGTGTGTGTGCTCAGGTGTGACCTGTGTGATCTGCGTGACCCGTGTGTGTGCTCAGGTACGATCTGTGTGTGTCCCCTCTGTGCACACATGCGTGTCCCGTGTGTGTCCCCTGTGTATGAGCAGAGCTGGGGGCCCAGGTGTGCTCACCTGTGCTAGGGCACGGCCCCACACGTACACCTGAGTTCCTGTGCCCGTGTGTCTGTCTGCGTCTGCTGATGCCCGTGCCTGTGTCTGTCTGTCCCTGTGTGTCTGTGCGTGTCTGTGTGTCTGTCCATGCTGTGTGTCTGTCTGTCCCCGTCTGTCTGTGTCTGTGTGTCTGTCCATGCTGTGTGTCTGTCTGTCCCCATGTGTCTGTCCATGTCTGTCCCCATGTGTCTGTCTCTCCCTGTGTGTCTGTCCATGCCCGTGTCCGTGTGTTTGTCCATGCGTCTGTGGGTGTCCGTCTGTCTGTCCATGCTGTGTGTCTGTCTGTCCCCATGTGTCTGTGTCCATCCCCATGTGTCTGTCTCGCCCTGTGTGTCTGTCTACGCCCATGTCCGTGTGTCTGTCCATGCCGTGTGTCTGTGCCCGTGTATCTGTCTGTGCCCATCTCTCTCCCCGCACGCCCACAGCTCCACCGTCCACGTCCCCGTCCCTCCACGCCCACGCGTGTGCTGGCTCGGGGGGTGCTCCCGCCCCGCACGGGTGCCCCTTGCCCGCGGGGTGCTGGGCAGGGAGGTCCCCCCGTCCCCTACCCTGCATCTTGGCGGCGGCGATGACGTCCCCTGCGGACATGCTGGAGACGTTCACCAGGTACACGGGGCAGTGGGTCTGCGGAGAGGGGTGGCGGCGCTGTCTCCGTGGTCCCCAGCCCCGGGGGTTCCTGACCCCGACGGAGGCACGGGGACCCCACGGGGCCGGGGCAGCCCCGGACACTCACCCGGTTGGCGATGGTGATGACGCGGTGCGTGGCCTCGGCTTCCAGCTGTGGAGAGAGCCGGCGGTGACGCTCGCGGCGCGCAAGGGTGGCACCAAGGGGCGCGTGGGTGACACGAGGACGGCTGGAGGTGGCAGCGACGCGTCCGTGCCACCGCTGCGGCGTCACCTACCTCCTCGGGCCGGCTGATCTCGATGCCCTCTGGCCCCGTAATGCCCAGATCCAGAGCTTCCTTGGCTCCCTGGGGAATTTGGGGGGTCAGGGGGACGGACCTGCGGCCCCGGCCGGGCGCCCGCCGCCCCGCCGGGCCCCGGCCTCACCTCGGCCACCAGCTCGCCGTTCTCGGCGTGGACGCGGGCGATGGCGCCGATGTCGCGGCAGGCGCGCAGGACCTGGTAGAGCTCGCTGTCCCGCAGCATGTACAGGTCCTTGTAGGTCATGAACATCTGGAAGGAGTTCACCCCCTTCTCCCGCACCAGCGTCTCCATCTCCGCCTTCACCTGCGCCGGCAGCGGGGTCAGAGCGGGGCTCGCCCCACGAGGGGCCCCGGCCTCCCCCTGGGGACGCGGATTTGTGGGTGACACGGGGAGCGACAGCTGCTGGGGGAGCAGGAGGGATTTTCCTGCCCCCAGGGGGTCCCAGCTCCATCCCTCTGCCCCTGCCCTGCTGGAAGGAGGGGCCAGGGCGGGGGTCTCCTGCAGCACAGCCGGGAGCCAGGTCTGATCCCGCTCCAGCAGCTTTGAGGGGATTGCAGGGGCCGAGTCTGCCGTGGGATGGGGTCTGCTCACCAGTCCTGCTGTCCCCACCGTGGGGGTCGTCCTGTGGGGCGGGGTCCCCCCAGGCTGGGACCACCCACCCGGGGCACTCTGCTCCCCTCCACGGAGCGGCAGCAGCACCTTCCCTGCCCCAGCGAGGGGCTCAGCCCCACAGGGACCCCGGGGCACCCCTGAGCCCCTGCCCCGCTGAGCCCGGCTCAGGGCAGCTCAAAAGGCATCCTGGGGGCTCAGCCCACCCCCAGGCAGCTAATGGGATCAGCAGGGTCGGGAATTAGCCCCGGCAGCTGCTCCGGAGCCGGGCCACGCTCACCTTGGGTGCCCACCAGGTGATGCCCATGTGCAGGGCGTAGTCGCAGCACACCTTGGGGTCGGCCAGGCCGCGGCACTTCTCGTAGGCGTCCAGCAGCGACGTCTCCTTGTCGGGCAGGACGTGCCCGATGATCATCGTCGTGCCCCCCACCAGCGCTGCCTGCACGGGGGCACAGGCACCGCGGCGGGGGCATCAGGGCTCATCCCCGCGCTGGGCACCGGCCCTGCCCTGCTGCCGGGCTGGGGCGGCCACGTTCGGGCACTGCCCACGGCCACGCGGGGCTCCTGGGTGCAGGCAGGGACCCCCTGCATCCCCCTGGCCCTGCCAATGGCTGCACCCCTGCAGCAGCACATCTGCGAGCACGGCACATCTGGAGAGCCCCATCCTGCCACCAGCGGGGCACCCACGGCCCCCCCAGCCCAAGCCCCGGGTTTGGGGTGCTGGGGGAGCCAGGAGCCCCCGACACAGAGCCCCGCGTGGGATGGGGCGCGGGGAGCCCCCCCGCAGCAGCGTGGGCGGCAGGGCAGGCGCCGTGGCAGCGCCGCTGTCCCCGGCTCACCCCGCCCCGCTAATCCCCAAAGCTCCTTTGCCCATCGGCTCTCTCGGGAGGTGACAGTGACAGGGAGCAGGCCTGGCATGTGGCACCGCTGGGCATCCCACAGGGCCCTTCCCTCCAGCACAGCGCCGAGCCCCCTGCCCGGGGACACCGAGCACCCTGGGGACGCCCTGGGGACACCCTGGGGACAGGCACGGCCAGCGCTGGCCTGGCACAATGGCTGCTCTGTGTGGGACAGAGGGACAAGCTGCAGGGACAATCCTGGGCTGGCCCTTGATGCTCCCGGGCAGCAGCACTCGGTACACAGAGCCGCCGGCACAGGGAGCTGCCCGAGCTGGCACAGGGTGCCACGGCCCCAGCGCGGGAGGAGGGCTGCCACAGCGAGGAGACGTGATGGATGGGGACACGGGGACAGGCGGTGCCACGCCACAATGGTCCTGCGATGCCCGCGGGGCTGGCAGCCGCCTGCACAATCCGTGCCCGCGGGGAGCCCCCGGGCAGGGCTCGGGCCGGGGCTACCTTGGTGCCGTGGTAGAAGTCATCGACACAGGTGGCGTTCATGAAGGTCTGGTGGAAGTGGGTGCTGGTGTCGATGCCGCCCGGGATGACGAGCTTGCCGGTGGCATCGATGACCTTGGCGCCGCCGGGGATCATCAGCTCGCGCCCCACTTGCTGGATGATGCCGTTCTCGATGTAGACGTCGGCCTCGAGGGTGCAGTCGTCGTTCACCACCTTGCCCCCCTTGATGAGGATCCGCATGGTGGCCGCGTTGGCCATCATGGTGCTGCGGGCAGAGGCGGCGGGGTGACCACCGGGAGCCCCCCGGGGCCGGGGGTCGCGCCGTGCCCACCCCGGCCCGAGGCGCCCCGGGGCGGGCAGGGCTGAGCCCCGCAGCTGCGCATCCCGCACGGGCCATGGATGGATTATCCCGGGAAATCCGCGCGGAGGAGGGGCCTGGCACGGAGCTGGGGCTGCCTCCTGCCCGGAGCCCGCTGCGGTGCCATCCGGGCTGCACCCGGCCGGTGCCACCCCCATGCACAGCCAGCACCTGGGCAGGGCTGCCAGACCCGTCCCTGCCGCCCTCCACCGCCACTGCCACTGCCACGCGTGCCGTGGGTGTCCCCACAAAGCGACAGCGCCCACGCCCAGCGCGGGCTGCCCACCTTGTCCCTGTGAGTGACCAGCACTGGCATGGACAGCACCATGGCTGGCATCACTCACTGGCATCACTCACTGTGCCCACTGCCCCGTGAGGTGCCAGCTCTGCCAGAGACCCCCGCGCTGCCTCAGCTCTGCCTGAGCCCCCGGCAGCGAGGGGCATCCCCAGACAGGATCAATAAATCATTCGGTGAAGGTCAAACGCCATCGACCCGTCGGAGCGGGGACAGCACGTGCCAGCTGTGCCCACCCGGCAGGCATGAGGTGGGCTGGGACCCCACCAGAACCCCCAGAGCAGAGAGACACAAGGAGACCCACAAGGAGACCCACAAGGAGACCCACAAGGAGACCCACGAGGAGACCCCTGCCTCACTGTCCCACTGCAGGGACCCCTCCAGCAGACAGAGCCCTGGTACCCACGGGCAGCGTGGGACAGTCTGGCACGGCGCTGGCACCGAGCAGCGCTGCGGGAACAGCCCCTGGTGCCCACCCGGCCCCTGGCACAGCCCCAGGGCCAGAACTGAGCCATGGGCAAAGGCCGCCGCCGCTGCTGGGGCAGGGAGCTCGTGGCACGGGGGTCTGGTGCTGCCCCAGCCCCGCGGTGGCCCCAGGCGGGCGCTGAGACCGGGACAGGGCTCTGAAGGGACCGTCCTGAGCTGTGCCAGGGATCTCCAGTGCCCGCCCCAGCAGCTGCCGGGCACAAATGGCTTCTGGGGCACAGAGCTGGCCGGGCTCTGCCGGCAGCTGGGCATTCCCGGCCACGGCCACCGCAGCTGCAGGGTGGGACAAGTGTTCCCGGGACCACCGCTGCACCGGGGGACCGGCAGCGCCTCGTGGGCCGGCTGCTGCCCCCGGTGCACAGTGGGTGCCGTGGCGATCCCGGTGCCAGCTGGCGCCTTGTCCTGGTGCCTCACCTCGGCACGGAGCAGCAGGAGCAGCTGCGGGGGTCCGGCAGGCGGCCCCCCTCGGGAATGTCACCGGCGTGCGCAGCTGTGACACTGCTCAGGAGCCCCCCGGAGACCAGGGCGGGGTGGCAGTGGCCTCGTGCAGCGTGCCAGGCCCCTGTGGCACGCTGGGCACTGGCACCCGGGGGTCCGGTGCCCACACCTGCCCCCCAGCTCTGCCTCGGGCCCATGGGGGAGCTGCTGCCCCAGGTGAGGGCTGAGCTGGGGACACCTGGGCCCGGGGCTAAGCTGAGGGGGACGACAGGAACAAGGGGATCAGCCCCAAGGACCCCTGAGTGCCCACACCGGTCAGGGCCCACCCTGACCGACATCAGGGACAAGACACCGGGGCAGAGATCGCCCTCGGTGCGGCGAGACCAGAGGGGACGAGCTGGTGCCCACAGTGCCACCGCGGGGCACGCTGGCCCTGGGAGCCCCTGGGAGCCCAGAGCAGGGCTGGGCCGGGCAGGAGAGGCAGGGGGGTGGCACGGAGCAGAGGGGCTGTGGGGGGAGGCGGCACGTCGCATCCCGAGATGAAAGCGGCTGCGGTGACGGATCTGGAGCACGGAGCACGCGAGTGCCAGCGGCGCCGCAGCACCGGGAGACCCCTGGCACGGGGGGCTGCCCTGGGCGGGCAGGAGGGGCGTGAGCATTGCAGAGGGCGTGTGGGGCTGGCAAGGGGACAGGGGCACAAGCGTGGGCTGGCCTCTGTGCACGGAGAAGAGCTGGCAGCTCCACTTGCTGCCTGTGGCCTCGGCCACCGTGGAGCCACCCACGCTGCTGCCACCACGCTGCCACCACCACGCTGCCCTCGTGCCTGTTCCAGGCACCTTTCCCACCCCCGTCAGCCACCCCCGGCACCGCCCGTGGCAGAGCCCTGACGTCCCCATGCCGCCGGGCCCATGCCCAGCTCCGGACGCTCACGGTGCCCTGTCTGGCACACCGGTGCTCCCATTTCACCCTCACTGCCCCAGATCCCACCCAGAGCTCCCACTCAGCCCCCAGCTCGCACCAGTGTCCCCAGCTTACACCCAAGCTCAGACTGAGCATCCCCAGGGCTCTGTCCCTCTGTCCCCCAGCCCGGGCCACAGCGCAAGCATGGCACCGGCCCCGGTGGCACCGGGGCCCTGGCCCGCGTTCCAGCCAGCCGCTGCAGCGGCGGCACGGCCAGCATGGGCCGGCGGTGGCCAGAGGCTTCTGCCAGACGGCGGGCTCCGAGCAGGGCAGAAACGCAGCGTCAGCGCCGGGGGGGCACCGGCGGACACACCGGGGACCCCCGCCCAGCCCCGGCTCGGCGGGCGCGGCTCCGCTTCCCGGCACACAAAGCGGCGCGCCCGTTCGGGGGGCTCGCAGCCCCCCCAGCCCCGCGGCTGCCGCGAGGACAGCTGTGACCCCGGCAGGACAAAGGGACCCCGAGCCGGGGGGGCTGCCAGGGGCACCTGTTGGGGTCGCGGCGGCCGCCGGGCCCGGCCTTTGTGCCGGGGCTGCCGCATTGTGCGGCGCGGCGGGGCCGGGGGGCCCCTCGCCGCCCCCCGCTTTTGTCTGCGCCGGCGAGACCCCGGCACCCACCGTGCCCGACCCCACCCTGCGCCCACCCCGCGGCGGGGGCTCCCCTTTGTCAGCCAGGCTTGGTGACCGCCGCTCCGGTGGCGCCGACTCGCCACCACCGCGCGTCCCCGGCCAGAGGCGGCGGCTGGGTGGGCATCGCTCCCCGCCCGAGAGATGATGCCCCGGCGGGGGGGTCACCCCGCCGCGGCCCCCAGCCCTGCCCCGGCTCCCCGGCTCCGTTACGGCCGTGGCCGGGCTGGCGTCGCTGTCCCGCCGCCGGGGTCGCACCGACCGCCCCCCAGCCAGGACGAGCTGCGGTGTCACCGAACCACCGCCCCGGGAAGGAGCCGGGGACCCGCGGGGACCGCGGTTGGCGGCAGAAGGATGCTCCGTCAGAGCTGCTGCCACCAAGCCCGGGATGCTGCGGGCAGTCCTTGTCTCCGCGGGCACCTTGGCCCGGCCCGGCCCAGCCCGAGCACGGGCACGGGCACGGGCACGGGCACGGGCACGGGCACGGGCACTGCGCGGCCACGCCCGAGCGGCAGCGGGGCGCTGCGCAGGGTCCCGGCGCAGCCTGCGGGGACACGGGGGTCCCGTTGCCGCTCTCAGGCCCCGGTCACCCCCCGGCGCTGACCCCCAGGTCACTGCGGCAGGAGGCCGGAGCGGCGGTCACCGAAACCGGGCCGGGGGGCCCGGCCGGGGGTCCCCGCCGAGAGCCGGGCCGGGCCCCGGTGTGCGGCAAGCGCTGGGCGCAGCCCCGGGCTGGGCCGGGCCCGGGCGAGGCTCGGGGGCGGTGCCGCTGCCGTGGGTCCCCGGAGCGCGATGCGGGGCGTGCGGGGGTCCCCGTGCGGGGTCCGGAGGCGCGGGGGGTCCCGGTCTCGCCGGCCCGGGGCGGCTCCGCAGACAAAGCCCGGGGGCCGCCCAGCACAAAGGATGCTCCGAGCCGGGGCGGGGCCGCCCGGGAGACCCGGCGGAACAATGAGCCGGGCCCGGCGCGACCCCCGCCGCCCCTCGGCCCCGCGGCCCCGC